GATACCAAATTTCATGAGAAATATTCTGCTTTTCTTCAGAGACAAAGTGTTTTCAGCTGCTGTTTGCTGGAGGGGGTGTGTTGCTCTACATTTCTCTTTAAAATATCCCAAAGGTGCTTTACTGGAATCAAGTCAGGCAACATACTTGGCCAGGTCCAAGGCTAGTTCTCTTTTTTTTTCTTTTTTTCTATTTCTTTCCCTAGAAGCTCCTGTGTTATTTTAAGAGTGTGTTCTGGATTGTTATCATGCTGGAAAATTCCTCTTCCGTCAATCGTCTGCAGGCGGGATTTTGGCGTATCCACAGGCATTCGTGGTGGCATCTATGAATCTCACCTCCACAGCACCTTTTGCACTTATGTAGCCTCATATGGCCACACTCCCACCTCTGTGCTTCACTGTCAGATCTATGCATTCACTATGTAGTTCTGACCAGGGTCTTATCTGAACTGAACATCATTAGCAAAGCTTCCACTTGCGTTTGTCACAGAGTAAGCGTTTTTTTTTTCTTTGACGGCATCTATAAAGGTTTATGTTATGCAATAACCTTCTCTGAGGTGAAACAGAAACTCTGATTTTCATTGATAAGTCCTGTGCTACGTCATAAGCACCTGGCCGTCTGTCTTGTAAAGCTAGATTGTGAAAGTAGCACATCGTTCATGGCATCGTTCACTTCGGTTCTGTTTAGTGGTAGTATGACTTGCTCTATACCTCCTGATTACTGCTGCAGCTGTGTTTCAGATGGCTTTTAGTTGGCCACAGATCTGTGCGTAATCTTTTACATCTTTGTGAGATCTCATAACAAGAATTTTCAGTTTTTCTCCCATTTCTTTTCCACATGGGGCCACGATGCAGACACAGTCCATTGGTACACAAACAAGAAAGATCAGATCATTTTATTGCCATGTTCATACAGTTGGGCTGGTTGTAAATCACCACTGTATGCAATTTTGTTTCAGTGATCACAGATTTTCTAATTTGTGTGTCAGTGATCGTAGGTGTATTCACGTTTGTTGCATTGAGTTTCTACTTTGGAGCCTGTATTTTCAGTAGAGTCTTTCAAATGTATTTTGGGTTTGTTCATAAGAAGAAATACTCGACTTGTTAGCCTAGAAATAATGCAGTTATTGAGACTGAACCATTTGACATTTAAGTGATATTGCACAGGGGTGTGCTACCTCATGTTGTATACAACAAACTACACATTCAAATGACAAAAGACAAGTAACAAAATGTATTCTACTAACACTTTGCAAAAGGACAAAGTACTCAGACAGACAAACACATTCAAATAGAGATAAATTAGATTCTGAAACAGGAAACACACAAAAGCAAAAGCAATCTCCATGATTTGTTTTCTTAATATATTTTTGGTGATTTACTTTCAGTTTTGTGAGAGATAATTAGATTTGCCTCTCCATCTTCTGACCCGTTCAGCCTGGTGTGATGTGTGTGAGTGGTGCAGCAGAAAACCGGCCGGGACAAAGCGGGTTAACCAGCGGGGACACTGACAGGGGTCGGGGGGCTGCTGGTGTCGAGGTCGTGGGATCAGAGCGGGTCAGGGAGGTGTGGGAGTGTCTGCTCGGCCCTCTGACCTTTGTCACCGAGGCTTCCTATAATCCTGTCCTCAAAGACCATACGGACATAATGGAGAGGCCATGAATGGAGTTAAATGGTGACCATTAGGTGGATCTGTGTCGCTATTCTTCTTGTTTGTTTAGTCCCGGTCAGTCTCACGTTTTCGGCCTAATCAGGCGTGTGATGGAGGGAGCACCGCAGGACAACAGTTTATTTGAGATGGATATCCACCTAAACCTACTGAATGACACAACACAAGAGAGAGGAAGGAGGGGGAGAGAGATGGAGGAAGGGGACGGTAATTGGATGTCCACTTCACATTATTTGAGTCCAGAATGCAGCTCACAAGTGTTCGACATAGAAGGAGGTGAAAGCAGCCCTTTTGCAAATTGTTTACAAGGCACCATATTGGCATCACGGCAAAAAGCACTTGTGAAAAGTCTATCTGAGCAAACAGTAACCTTCAGGGAACCTGCACGGAACATTCCATGAAGGTTTCCTGAAGATTACTGTTTGTTTGTTCAAGGAACCAGCAAACAGTAACCTTCGAGGAATGTTCCCTGAAGGTAATTGTTTGCTGGGAATTACACTGGTTTCACGTTAAAGACAGTCTCAAGAACTGACACGCTGATGATTTTCTGAAAAATACTGACATTTTTGTGAAGTAGGCGGGATTATTTTGTCACAATTCACTTTTATGGAGTGTCATAAAAGGTAAAGATCTGCACAAGAATCTGTTTTAGAAAAAGGCTTTCTTTCATTCTTTCTTTTTCTTTCTGTGTTTAGTCGTATGTTTCTTTAACTGATGGATCAGGGTACCACAATAAAACATCCCTTGAAAAATGTGCATAAGCTACAACTAATGTCATTATTAATGGTTAATAATGCATTTTACATCCGTTATAAGCCTTTAACTTTTGAGTTGCGAAGTTGTTAAACATATTTTTCTTGTAACAAAATTCACTTTGTAATAAGCCATAAACAGTGAACAGTAAATATCATCAGTCATGAGTTTTCATATAAATCCATCATAGAACACCTAAACTCCGACAGTCTAATGATGTAAACAGCTAAAACAACAAAGTGAGTACCATCCTGGAGGAGGAGAGAGATTTCTCACAACCTGGCAGCCGAGATATGTTCTCATTACTGATCAATTAAACATTTATGAATAACGTATAAACAATAATACAACCTGTAATGACAAAATGATTAATAAAATGATATCAGTGAACGTTAAATACAACATGCAGAGCGTGAAATCAAAATGTATGGTGTGTAATTTAACAAATACACATTTTCTTGAAGTGTTTGTTGTAGTTCTCAAAATGTATTTTTAGTTAACAGAGAGTTCGTCCTTTATGAAAAATAATGTGGATTTACATCTACGTATTTAACAGCTACATTTTTTTCTATTAACTAAAAAAGTGGCAGCGTGACTGTGAAAAGAGCCTTTAAAGATTTTAGTGAGCAAATTAATAGTCAACACAATTTACAAGAAGCCTCCCACACAGTAGATTTCATGATCTGTGGGCTGTTGGACTGGTTTATGTGGAGTAGACCGCCACCTAGTGCTGGTTTCACAGAACTGATACGGCTCCCCTCTGAGCCAGAAGCCTCCTTTACAGCAGAACAGTCCATAAAACCTGTAAATGTGTCTGTAAACAGCATAAGACGATGAAGACGTGTGTAGATGTTCAGACTCTTTACTAAGAGTAAGTAGCAGTATGACAGTGTAAAAGTACTCTGTTAATCCTGCTGTCACACAGCCTTAAGTATAGACCTACAATAACATCAGAATATATGTAAAGTACCTAAAGTAAACCTATTAATTAAATAGAATGACCTATTTCAGAATCATATATTTTATTGAATTAGACTGATTGATTCAGTAATGTGATTATCACTTTAATGTTGCAGCTGAAGCTCATTTAATCCCTTTGTGCTGCTGAGCATCTTAATGTACAACAGGGGTGCCCAATCCTGGTCCTCGAGAGCCACAATCCTGCATGTTTTAGATGTTTCCCTCTTCCAACACACCTGATTCAAATGATCAGCTCATCTTTGTTTTGTTAAATCACTGAGAAAAGTATGAATTTACTTGTTAACATAAAACAACTGTAAATAATGTCCATATCAAAAAAATCATGATATAACAAATAAAACTTTGTTCTTTTACAACATTTGACTGTAAAATTACACAATTTCTATTGTATTAAATCAGCTAAAAATATTTTAATCACACACACACACAAACACACACACACATATATATAAAGGACTGGAAAATATAAATAACTTTTAAGTATTATTATTATTAAGTATTATTTTACAGATTTTCCCAGATTCTTTAAATTACAGATAATATTTAATGCAATCCCTAAAAAAAAAAAAAAAGTATTATATTGCATGTTGGGTGTTCAAAAAAGAAAAAAGAAAAAAAAAGAAGAAGAAGAAGAAAGAAAGAAAGAAAGAAAGAAAGAAAGAAAGAAAGAAAGAAAGAAAGAAAAACAAACAAAAGAAAAGCAGACCAGATCTTGACATAATGTCCACAACAAAAATCTCTACTGATAGTAACAACAATTAGTTCTTTTACAATGTGTAAAATCACACTTTTTAAAAAAATTATCAGTTAATCAGCTAGCAATGTCTTTATGTTACAGGTATTTTCCATTATTTTCCCTGTATCTTTCTACTGTTTCTATATATTAACACACAGTATTGTGGCATAATTAATTAGGTGGTTTATATTTCATATTTAAAAATCTAAATCTGCAAAGTAAGTTGTAAGTAAAGCTTTAAAATAAACGTAGTGAGAACAAAATGCAGGTTTTGTCTCCAGAATGTAATCCTGAGTTCATGTACTCAGTTACATCCCACCACTGAGCATCTGTGCTTGTTCCAGATGTCCTCATCAGACATGTCAAACATTTGCTTTTGGTGATTTTCTCTCTTCCCTTCACATACCACCAGTGCACACACTACATGAACACATTTCTTTTACAGCTACAGGCAATAACAGGCTTTTTGCTGCTAATTTGCCCGTACAGAGATAAAACGGTGACGCCCTTTAATGCAATCTCCGGATCGTTTTCTCAGGAAGTTTCCTGCAAAAGACTGAAGTTTAAAGAGCAAAAACTAGGACCAGCTGAAGCAGTTGATGGAGGCAGCGCACTTTGATTTAAAACCTTTGCTCTTTGCCTCTTTGTGCTCGCTCAGGATGATGGTGATGATGGACGGTAAATTAGGAAGATCAAAGACGCACTTGGCACCGTGTCATTACTCCGACTCCAGCTCATCAGGGCCTCCGGCGCTCCGCATACCTTCCCGGGCTGGGAGGCGCTCCGGCGGGCTTCGGTCTGGTGGGTGTGAGCCTCCAGCTGCATATAAGAACCGGCTGCCCACATTCTGCAATATTTAGTTTTCCCCTTTACTTCCACTGACAGCATGGCGACCAACAAGGACGCACCTCTGGGCTCCATCGAGAACCCGATCAAGTTCCAGGACCAGGACTTCGACGCGCTGCTGCAGGAGTGCGTCCAGTCCGGCCTGCTGTTCTCTGATCCGACCTTCGTGGCTGAACAGAAGTCCATCGGTTTGCCTGAAGATCCCAAGAATGTGATCGAATGGAAGCGACCCAAGGTGCGTAAAATGTTAAAGTGCCAGCTGTTATCCAGATGTTTGGGGCTGGTTTTTGTTATCAGAGAGGTTTATCAGCACTCAGGTCTTCTATATGACAATTAAACTGTAAAATAATAGCTGAAAATCAAAGTTTCATTGAGAGAGAGAGAAAAAAAAGAGGTCTGCAGGTACTTTTTTGTGCCCACTTCTGTACGAATCTAAAGAGATGGTTAAAAATGAAGGTATGTGAACTATTCATCCTTTTAGTTCCTTCACATAAACTCAGTCAGGAGCGTTGCTGTAGGTGCAGACAGATGTCTCAGAGCTTCAACCAGGTGTGGCTCAGGTGTGAAAAACTTACTGAAGCATCTACCTGGAGAGCAGTTGGAAGCAACACAAATAGAACTGAAAATAATAAAAAAAAAAAAATGTTGAGAGTGAAAAGCACATTTCACATGACATATTTTAATGCACTGTCAAAAACTCTATATCTGACTGTTTTATTGTACCTGGAATATAAATGGGGGAAAGACATTGTAAAGCGCTTTGAGGACCACTAAGGTCAATAGGTGCTATATAACCATTTATCATTAAATAAAAATGCAAAAAAAATACTATGAGACATGCAGGCGCAAGACGATTACAAGTAATTTTTTTTGGTGTAGATTCTGTAAAATGTAAGAAAATAGAAACAAATGCACATCAGTTATCTTCTAGGTCTCCTGGTAACATGTTAGAATATTTTGCTTTGTCAAACCAACAGGCCAAACTCCCCTAAATCTCAATTTGCTATCATGTAACAACAGAGAAAACACCAGAAATTCTTATATTGCATCAGCTTGAAGTGGATTTTGGGGGATTTTTGCAACAACCTGGTTTAAATAGTTATTCAAAGTGATCTAAATTGTCACAGCATGCTTTTTAGTTGAAGTAATAAACTGTTTAACCAGGAAAACTAAAAAAATCCGTGCTGACTATTTCCTAAAACATTCCTGCATGATGTCGACACTCAGCCACACTCAGCCATCACACTGTTGCAGCCTCTCACGTTCATGTTCTCTTCTTCTTCACATATCACAAGACAGTTTTTTAAATCTGGTATTATACACTGATATATGATATTGCCAAAATGTCTAAATAGCTTACTGCAACTGCAGGAACAAAACAGGCAAATGTCGACCTGTCAGGACTTGGAATATAAATATAAATATATCAGTTACAATGAAACATGTAGGTGCAGTGAGGCTACAGGTATTTCCATCTGTTTACTCATCAGTTTATAGGCATAGTAATATATTTAAATGTCTTGTTTCATCCAAGTGAACGTTCAGATTCTCTACAAATATGAATTTACTGTCATACACAACAGAGAACAAATATAAATCCTCATATAGGAGAAGTTTGAACTCGTGAATTTGGGGGATTTTTGCTCCAAACAGGCTTAAATGGTTACAAAAAAATCCTCTATAGTGTTTCAGAATACATTCATGTTGAAATAATCATCAAAAACATTCAAATGCCATTAAATTTGTTCAGAAAATAAGATTACAGCAACAACTGACTTTTTCTTGAAACATTCCTTCATGATGTCAACACTCAGTCATCAGCCTCTCACGCTCCAGCTGTCCTCTTCTTCTTCCCTTCCTGTAGGAAATCAGTAAGAACGCTGTGTTTGTGGAGGGAACAACTGGGACCACTGATATCTGTCAGGGCCAACTAGGTGAGCACATCAGAGAAAATTTCTAATCTGCTTCTCTACCCTTCACGCTTGCTCCTCTGCCCTCCCCGAGCACCGAACGTTGAGACTGGGCGACGTCATGCTCTTAAATTGACATTGCACGACATCTTTTTTTTTTTTTAATACAGTAAGATGACTTCAGAATTTGTCTGCAACGCAAAGCCGCAGGGACCCGACTTCAAACGCTCAGCGGGAGGGAAAGAGGAGTGACACTCTGTAGTCCCCAAACCCCATCTAGCCCCGGCTTTATTACCCCACAGACTGCTAGAATCTGTGTTGTTTGGTCTGTTCCCTATTTGTGGTTGAAATATGACTGTTTTCTATACAACAACAAACTCCTTCCACCTCTGGGATTTCTGGATTCATGGTTTGTGTCACCAGTTGCGTGCAAATCTGTCAGTGGCACTGATCAATACCTCTTTCTTCTTTCCATGTCTGAGCTTTGCGGTTAAAAAAAGGCATCCCAGGATGTGCTTTTAATGATTTAGGCAGATACCAACAGTTATTGCAGCATCCTCAGAGAAACAACACGAAGCAAATGTTGGAGAGGAATGTGGTTTATGTGTGTTTCGTATTTGTATGTGAGCAACCTTTGATCCATAATCAACTCTCTTTATTCTTCTGCACCAGCTTCATGTGCGTATTTTCTTTATCAGGTAACTGTTGGCTGCTCGCCGCCCTGTCCTGTCTCACCATGCACCCCAAGCTCTTTGTGAAGGTGGTGCCGCCCAACCAGAGCCTGGCCAAACCTTACGCAGGGATCTTCCATTTTAGGGTAAGTATAGAGTATTTTATTATTCTTTGTAAGTATAGAGTACCTCTGAAATCTCGCTACATTAAAAAAAGAAGAAGATATTTTTATGTTTAGTCTCATCTCTCATCTCATATTTACCTGAAATGTTACTTGATATTCTTTATGAAAGCAAATATTCATGATGCCCACATCAAGGTTTTACCATTTTTTGAAACAACAATATATATGCATTTCATTTTGGAACTCTATCTGTATCTATGTGATGGTCCAGAACAAACAAAGTCTGCCACTCAGGGTTCAGGGTTAAAATAGTTCAGACTCCCAGTAGCTGGGGGTCACAGGTTGGCTATCTATTGCACCCTGGAATATGCACAATAACATGGAACAACAATATCAGTCTTAATAATGGCATATTAGGGGCCAAAAAACAGTAGTCTGATTCAGAATTGCACTCATATAGCACTGGGGACGGTTAAGAAAACCAGAACAGAAACATATCAAAATCAATGCAGCAGAAATTGAGCTATCCTCATTTCTGTTCCATGTTTAGAGGCCATATATATTTCTGATGTTTCATGTGTGTGTCTAACCACTAGGCGCTTCCTTATTTTGGATAACTGAGAGGTGTTACTTAAAGAAGAAGTCAAGGCTGATCACCGTCACTGGATTTGTCTGTAATATATTTTGATCATGAACACAGTCTTCTTACTGATTAAAACACAGCAACTGCATTACCCAGAATGCAACATGAACAAGGGCAATTTATCAAGGCTACAAACCCCCAAGATCCCTACAAACATTCATCCATAGATGCAATAAATTTGAGATTATTCACAGATGTTTCTCTCTCTAATTCTGTCACTGGCTCCATCCCTGAGGGAAGGTCACACAATTATATGAGTGAAAGAACATAAACTATTAGGGAACGGTGACTTCTACTAAATTAAAAGTGAAGGTACTGAGTAAATATACATTTTATATTAATTATTTAAAGCTCATACAGCTGTGGCAGACAGTTCAGAGGGAGATTCAGACATCCTCGAGCTGAAGCTCACTTCTTTCTAACGCTTCATCTCCAGATTTTTAAAAATTCATCTCTACACTTGCAGTCTTTGTCCCTAAATCCTCATAGGACATCTATCAGACATCACTCAGCTCCTTTTGGAGACACAAAGGTCCATTAAAATCTGATGAAATGCCTTTTTTTTTTTTTACTTGAATCAGACACAAGGCTGGCTAGTATTTCAGGTATAAAGTACACAGTGCACACAGAGAGTAAGATCATAGAGATGCATAAGGACATTTTCTCCCTTGAGCTCCCAAGTTAATCCGTTGATAGTTCTTTAGAAAGGTCATGGTTGATATATTTTTTGACTTTTTATGCCTGCCTGAAGCTTCAGTAGTGCTGACTTCTGTACACAGACACTAGATCTGCATTTGCATAATGATTTACGTGCCTAAATTGCGCTTGTTCCTTTAATGTACTAGAAGATTGATTCTCTGAAGAAATTCACATTTTATCTGATCTGGCTCTATTCTTTCAGATTTCTTCACTGGGCTCATTTAGCTGTCAGTATTTAATAAAAGCAAACCAAATGAAGATCAGACAGACATCAGCTCATCTCGGAGTCGACAAACACGATCACCTCATTAGAAGTGTTGATCCTGATCTGAAGATTTCATCATTCTCTGGCTCGAACCTGCTCAGATCAATTAAAACATAAAGTTCTCAGACGTATTGTTCTTGTAAAAGAAAACACAGACTAATCAGTGATTATTTTGCCCTGGAGCTGTGGACATATAGAGACTGTTTTTGTGTCTCAGTGAGGTATCAGTGACTTAATTAGCTGCTGTTCTTCAGCTCTGGTATCTGATGAAGACATTTGGATCAAACAGGTATCAACTCATCCTGGAGTCATCGCTGCACGGTGGTCTCATAAGAGAGAAGAGACAAATCTTTATCAGCTCATTAGGAGCGCTGATCCTTATCTAAGGCTTCATCATTTGCTTGCTCTGACTGGCTCGGATCAATAAAATATCATCTCCATAGACAAATTAATCTTGTAAAAGCAAACAAAGACTACTCAGTGATTGTTTTGCCTCGGAGCTTTGGACCTTTAGAGACTGTTAGGGAGAATGTGGCGTGACTGAACAAGCAGGACGGAAGGACTGGAAACTCATTTTGCCCTGTCAGGGTGATTGGAGAGCAGTCCAGACATGCAGGTAGTGACTACCTCTGGGACAACGCACACATAACACACATAACACACCTACACACACACACACACACACAGACCAGTGCAGGCCTGCTCTCAGTTGCTGTTATGTGCATACGGTTAATAATAAGGTAGATGCCCCAAGCCATGACCATTCTGTTTCATTTTCCACATCTGGACAGCTGAAACTTCTTTCATTCTATTTTTTTATTCTCTTTAAACATTTCCGTGTCTTGTTGATGCTTTCTTTTTTTTTTAACTCCGATGTGCGCTTGAATATGTCATATATGATAATGTGATATCGCACGGTTAATTAAGGCAAGGCAAAGTTTGTTTGCAGGCGATTTAAAGTGCCTTCCATAATTTACGGCATAAAAAGGCATTAAGGCAAGTCAGAAAGGAAACACGAGGGAATACACAAACGCACATGTAAACAGGATTCTGACAGAAAAAAAATAAAACAGAAAATGAGCCAACATGGAATAAAGCCTACGGTGCAGTCACAGTTTATAAGGGCCTCATTTAATTTAATTAAAGTTATATGACAAGTACGACAGTAGTACTTTAGTTAGTTGTCTGACAGTTAAATTAATTTGCAAATATTTGATTAATCCTATTTAAACTGCTAAACATTCCTTCTTTGTCTTGTAATATTGTCATAAACTCAATAACTCTAATGCGCATTCTTTACATTTAAATAATCAACAATCTTTTTATTAAGAATATAGTCACTAAAAAAAGCCATACATATGTCATGTGGTATTAGAGTCCGTTCCCTTCCAATCCCATGACTGTGTTGTTACAGCTCATCTAGAACAATGACGTGTGCCAGTTCCCAAGAAGTCGCGGATACAGTTTGATGAGATTTGATCATTTGTTTCTGTAGTTCAGCTGAATTTAGCATCAGAATAGAAACAGGCAGAAACACAGGACTTAACCTACCTGTCTAACATAAAATGCACAAAACAAGCAGTGTTCAAGCTACAGGAGAGCCAGGGGGAACCTGGCTCCTCTTAATAAGACATGAGCGCCCCTGAAAACATAATTTGGGAAATTTGGGACGGAAGTCTCTGAAAAATTGATATTTGTGTCATGCATTTCTATTTTTCTGTGTCTTCATCATCGTCATGGATCACGTATAATCCATGTGTCTGCTATTACTGATGAATGATTCATGCATGAGGCTGATTCATCTCTAACTCACTTTAATGAAGATGCTTGCTGTTCTTGCCATCGCCATCAAAGCGTCACGGCACAATATCATAAACGTCACTCGCTTTAACTCACAGATTAAGTGGAAAACAGACTTGCTGTCGGCACCGGCTGCTTTAAAGCTTTACAGAGGAATGAATCTAACTCATCTTAGTGCTGAAAACAGGCAGAAGCAGTTCATTTTCATGTTTTTCTTTTTTTTGTATTAGCCGTATTAGCCTTTTTATTAGCAATAATTATAAATAAAGCTAAATTAAGGGTTTTATAAACGCTCTAAGGTAAATAATTCCTCATCTGACTGCCAGAAATAGTCCATTTTCATTTCAGGTCCTTTCTTGGATGATATTGTCCTTGCTAATCTTTAAATAGCATTAAAATAATTATAGAGGAACAGAAGTGATTTTTGAGGCATGTTGATGTAATATGTGACAAAAAAAAAGCCTTGTTATTTTAGGACGTACACATTTGAGATTTTTTGTTTTGCTGTCAGGGTTTTCACTTAAGCATACCTCTTATGTACAGATTATATACATATTTAAATCTAAACATTATAAAAGAAAGCAGACATTGTTGTTTTTTTCTCGATTTCCCTCAAACTGTCATTTCTGACCAAGACAAAGTCCAAGTAATAAAAAAAAACAACAGCTGTCCAGCCCTAAAAAAAAATCCATCAGGTGGTCAGAAACACAACTCAATATAAAAGCTCACGCTGCCAACTGGATTCCTACAAGCAACTGTTCGCTTACAAATGATCTGCTTGAATTTACAGTATTTGTAGTTTGCTTCTGCTGACCCCAGATGGCCACAAAATCTGTTGTTGCAGGTTTTAAGGGAGACACTGGAGCCATAAAGTTCAGGTTCACTCCTCCTCGTTATGTTTCCCTCCTGACTCACTCCATCCACCCCTCCTCTTTTCTCACCATTCCCCTCCTCTGCCTCTCTCTCTCTCTCCCTCTGTGCAGTTCTGGCAGTATGGTGAGTGGGTGGAGGTGGTTGTGGATGACAGGCTGCCAGTACGCGAAGGCCGTCTGCTCTTCAGCTACTCTCACACTCGCAATGAGTTTTGGAGCGCCCTGGTGGAGAAGGCCTATGCCAAGTCAGTTGCCACTACCAGCATATGCCTCTGGGTTGTAATGTCTGAGATCACCCACTCTTTCCCTGTGTGTGTGTTTGATTGTCGCCGCAGCGATTTGACAAAACTACACAGCCACTAGATACAGATTTCTCTCATGTGTAGGTTAGTCGGATCCTACGGGAGCCTGAAGGGGGGAAACATCTCAGAGGGGATGGAGGATTTCACCGGAGGTATCGCGTACTCGTTGAGCGTCTCCTCTCGGACCCCTCGAGTCCTGTGGAGGTGTCTGACGGCTGCTCTGTCCAGAGGCAGCCTGCTCAGCTGCTTCATCGAGGTACCTGCGCAACAAACCTCGAGATGTTCACGAGTGGATGTTAATGCGTTTCCTCTTGAGCTTTTCTCTTTGTCTTGACAGGCCAGCAGCTACCGTGATATTGGTAAAGTGACGGGAGACGGGCTGATAAAGGGCCACGCGTACGCCATCACTGACACCGACAAGGCCGGTATCACACATAGAGACACACTGCAGACTGAACCACTGACATTATTTATTGTTCCCATTATCATCAATACGCTGTTTTGACTTGTTTGCTTTTCTTTTACTACAGTTACTCTCACTCTTTTACTCTCAGTTTCTCCACAGACCACTTTAAATCAAAGTTTCATGTAAACTCACCTCATTTTAAGGAAATGAATATAATCTATTGTGTCCCATTTTATTCAATCAGTGTCATCTAAAATAAGCCCTTCAAATGTAGTATGATCATATTTTATCTCTATATTGTCTCATTGCGTGCTAAATTAAACACACTGGATCTCTCTTTTTATTGAATCTAGTCTAATCTAATCTAATCTAATCTAATCTAATCTAATCTAATCTAATCTAATTCCAGCCTATATCATATCATCAATTTTATCTAATCTTATTTCATTTTAATCTAATATTTTTAAATCTGACATAGTGTCACTGAAATTGAATCTAATTTCAAATTATTTTATTTCCTTTATTTCCTATTCTAATTTATTCTAATCACACTAAAATTTTGTTTATGCTCATGCTAAATATTCTCATATCATTCCATTTACTCCATTAAGCAGCACTTTGGCTACCCCTGTGGTTTTGAAAATGTGCTATATAAATAAAGTGATTGATTGATTGATTAAATCTGATGTAATCTTGCCGGCAAAACAAACTCTATTAGGAGCCATTCTGGAGCGCGTCACAGATCTTCTTCAGGAGATGAAGTTTGCTGATTTGTCTATAAGAACGGTAGATTTCAAATTTTCCTTTTTTTCTTCATTGAAGCAGTGACTAAAAATTCATAAACGCCCAAAAACGGCTGATGTGATTTGACTGGCAACTTCAGAATGACGACGAGTGAATCGTGTGGTGAAGTTTAATCTAATTTTATCTCATCTCTTAGTATAAATAAAAAATGTGAGAAAAATACTGAGAACAGTTCAAAATAAGACTTTACACTTCTGTTAATGTCTTCTCTGTTTATATTTTAGGTGAAGAAAGCATCGGATGAGATTTTGCTGCTGAGGCTAAGGAACCCTTGGGGTTTCGTTGAATATAAGGGACCTTGGAGTGACAAGTGAGTGAGATTCCTGTTTGTGCCTTTTTGTAGAAGAGATATTACAGAACATCCGCGTGGTGATGCTGAGTTTCTCTTTGTATGTGTGTGACTGACTGCAGGGGTAAAGAGTGGGGAGAGGTGGACCAATCAGAGAAGGAGAGAATCGAGCTGAAATCAAAAGAAGATGGAGAGTTCTGGTATGAAGGAGATGATAACGCTTACACCAGTGAATAGGCTCACAACAATAGGAGCTTTGATGTAGGTTTTCGTCTACTTTAGGATCAGCGCTGACGACTTCAGCAGCCTCTTTGATATCGTGGAGCTCTGCAGTGTGAATCCTGACACTCACGAGGAGGGAAACACACCTACAGCTACCTGGAACATCAGCGAACACGAGGGATCCTGGGTGTCGGGCAGCTCTGCCGGTGGTAGCCGCAGATACAGGAGTAAGTTCATGACTTTACATTTGCACAGTTATCCATTCAAGCTCTTCTCTGTTGTCAAACTTTCTGCTGCTCTTTTCTCAGAATCATTCTGGACAAATCCCCAGTTCGAGCTGGTTCTCAAAGAGGTGGACCAGGACAAGGAAGAGGATGATGACGATGATGAAGAGGAGGAGGAGGACGATGAGGAGGAGTTGACCCCAGAGGAGAAGAAGAGAGCAGAGAAACAGAAGACGAAAGCCAAACAGTGCACGGTGGTGGTGGAGGTTCTGCAGAAAAACCGCAGGCAGAGGGATAAAATCCACTTCCTCTACATCGGTTTCCACGTCTACAAGGTGAGACGGAAGCTTGTTGTTTATTCATTGTTTGTATCCCAGCAGCTTTTGTTCTGTTTCTTAATTCACACGTCTCCTTCCTTTTTTTTCAGGTTCCTTCTGAGGTGAGAGCTGATCAACTATCAACCGTCTACCATACTTCTACCAATATCAGAACAATCTCACATTCTCAGTAGCCATTAAAAATGCAGGAATTTTAATGTTTTTCCATGTAGCTGGAGGGTGTTTGCCTGGACCGCAGCTTCTTTGTGAAAAATCGCCCCGTGGGTCGATCTGGGAAATACAAGGCTCAGAGGTAAAAGACTAACATGAGAAGAAATGTCTGCTTTCGTGTTTAAACCCCCAAAAGTTCGGAGCTCATGTGTTTACTTGGTCCCTTGAGGGACTGTGGAGCAGAGTGAAACTTCTCCTTCACTGGGTAAACTATAGCTGCTCCTCAATATTTCTGCCTCCAAGGAACTGATTTGCTTCAACACAATCTCAAGTTCTAGCCAAACAGTCCCACCAAATGCAAATCAAGCGGCAAGTTACTGCAAATCAGTTTTACATAAATCTCATCTGAATCACTTACATCTGTTTAAGAGATAGTTTATTAACCTGCAGAGAGCGAATCTTTAAATTAGATTGCATGAAATCAAATATATGATTTTGATTTGAAGGATTTCATTTGGCACAATGCAGCTGTTGTTGCACAGTTATTTAAAACGTGAACAGTAGAATCTATATGTACAGCATGCCTTTGGACTAAGTGTTTGAGTCTGATTCTGAGCTTGATGGTTGTAATTAATAAAGATAACATTGCCCCACAGAGGTGTGTGGAGGAAGCTGCATCTGGACCCGGGCAACTACATCATCGTGGCCTCCTCCTATCGACCCAACCAACGCGGAGAGTTCTTTGTCCGCATTTTCTCCAAGATTGGAAACACTTTGGGGTAAGACAGTACAAATTCCCTTTTACAGACGAATAGACCCCAAAAACAGGGGGCAAAAATCAAGAGAACGCTGCTCAGCTGTAACATAATACCTCCAAGCTGATGTCAGAAAACAGAGAACCAGTTATGTTTTGCATGTGTCTCATTGTTTCTTGTCCCCGTCATCAGTCTTTGGTTAAGTCATGAAGCCACGTCATTTCCTGAGGCCTCCGCTGCACACCTGAATCACCTGCAGTCGCACTCACACTCAGCTGCACAGTCATAGTCACCCACACTCCCCTGCACCTACACTCAGCCTCAGACTGTGTTCCCAATGTTTAACTAATGTATGATTTAGTGTTTTTAAAAAATCATACAAGAGGTCAATAAAATGACCAAATCATTTGGCACCTGTCAGGAACATAACATTAATCCTCATTTTCCAGTGGTGGGAAGAAAAAAGTATGTTTACTTAAAGATCCCATGTTATCATTTTGGGTTTTCTTTTTTCCATTTCGATTATTTTTTTGCATGTCAAAAGTCCACAAACGTAAATGGCCAAAAGCCCTTTCAAAAGGGAGTCATTTTCTCCAACAGAAAACACCTTAAACTACATATTTTAAGTCTGGGCTTTTCTTCCGTCACTTATCTACATCACCATGTAACACATTTACGTAACACCCTCCTGGTGACTTGTTCAGTGGTCCTCAAACAAACAAGAAGCAGCCTCCTCTGCCATTATTTCACCACAAGAGCTTCTTCTGCTAGATCCCCCCGTACTACAGTTCTGATGTTACAATACCTCGTTTTAATTCAAATGGCAATCACAGAACTGTTCATTTCTGAAATTGGGTCTTAAAGAGACAGGAGTTAAAACGGAGTGTTTCAGACAGAGGTGCTGCAGTTGTTTACAGTATGAGAAAAAATTATGTTTTGTTTTGTTTTTTTTTAACATTAAAGCATGTAAACATATTCTAGTTGAACCCAAAAATAAAATTATGAACCTGTACATGTGGATAATATGGGCTCTTTAAGTAAAATTGTGAAGTTTTTGCCCTTATTGGGCATTCATCTTTTACCTCCACCGAACTTCAAAGGCAAGTAATTTACTTTTTACTCTAAAACATAAGCTATGATGCCTTGCCGTACATTAAAGTCAGCGTAACTAAACAGTCTTGTGTAAAACTCTGCTTGGATTAACAATAGGCTACATATAAGAATAGTAAAGTTGTAACGTGTCCTGCAACAAAATTATAGAAAAGACCCTGAAGTACTGAAAAAAAGTTGTACAAGATTACGTTTGTGTGAACAGCATAACTTTTGCACCATAATTTGCAACATGAATTGTGAGAACATGTTGGTAATACTTTCATCAAGTAGAAATTTAACTACAAGACCTTTTATTATATCAGTATTTTCACATTATGGTATTGATGCTTCTTCTTAAGTAGCATAAAAAAATCTTAATAGCTGCTGTTATTGGTTTTTTTTTTCAATGCAAGTGCGAGTGAGTAAACTATGTAAAAGACTAACTCTGGAGAGCAACACTGACAGTCTGACGTTGTCTGTGTGTTCTAGGAGTCCTGACTTCACCTGCTCCTCAGGTTTCCTCCCAGTGAGTTGTCTATTTCCATCAAAAACACTATTTGACAGCAAACGACCACAAAAAGCTTTACCGTGTTAATACTTCTTTGAAATGTTTGTGTCTGTCAGGTTATGGCGGCCCCCATCTCCCCAGAGGATCACGTGAGAGCTCAGAAGCTCTTTGATGAGGAGGCTGGTCCAGTAAGAATTACTGCCCTCATGTACTTAAACTCATGTAATAAAACATTTATTTTGGGCCTTTTGAGTGAAATAATTCCTTCTGTGTGGCCTGCAGGATGACAGGCTGAACCCCAAACAGCTCATGAAGCTGCTCAACTCAGGTGAGAGTATCCACTAGATTACTTTATTTGCTACCAAAGCTGCCAGTTAACCTGCAGCAACCTGTAACGGCCACTAGATGGGAGCAAAGTAGCAACATGTTCCCTCATATGTTGGAACAGTGGAGCATCAGAGGTCACCAGTCTAGACAGAGGCTCATAGCTGCAGTCAGATGAAGCAAATTGAGCTTGTTTGGTAATAAAAGTGATGACACGTGTCCTCAACTTCACCTTTTCTCAGCTCAATCAAATTTAAACCTTTATTTTCTTTCCCTGCATCAATCTGCGCCTTTCTTTCCTAATCACAGTTCTCGTCAAAGATTACCATCTGCCACTGGAGACGTGCAGACAGCTCATCTTTGCTGAGGATGTATCCTTTTGTCCCGGGTATTTTCAGTTCTTTGTGTGTTTCTTCACAATACAACGGCTGCTGCTGCTAAAAAGCGTGATTGACCTCTGCTAGTTTCACACTTCTTCGGGGCAGACGCTTGCTGACGAAGGGGTTTGAACTCGACTCCTCTGGTTGAGTCATCGTGCCTTCCCCGCTGTTTACTTTCCCTCTGCTTCCTCATAGCTTAATCTCTCTGTCTTCTGTCCTGGTGAGATGTCCTTAACTCTGCCTGCAGACCAAAGGGCACTCCGCTGTCAGTCGTGAACAAGCTGAAACCCTGCTGTCGGCTCTGCGCAATCTGCAGGTACAGCAGCTCAGAGTGGTTGTGTTAAAGACATAGTTGTCACATCATTGTCACTGACGCTGCTTTCTTTTTCAGTCCATCTTTTTCCAGTTCGATGAGGATTCTTCCGGGACCATGAGCCCCTTTGAACTCAGCATGGCGCTGCAAGCTGTTGGTATGAATGCACAAACACACACGCAGATGGTTGCTGCTGTTTGGCTTCACACCTTCTCTCACCCTTCTTCTGTTTCCCAGGGATGCAGTGTGACTACAAGGTAGTTCAGCTGCTGTCTGAGCGGTTTGCCTCTGGAGAGGTTCACATGCCCTTCCACAGCTTTGTGTCCTGTGTCACCCGGATGCGCAAGCTTTTTGGTAACACACACACACACACACACACACACACACACACACCATGTACACGTCTATCAAGGTACACTACCGCATGCTGTAATTACATCCTCCCACTATTTTGTAATTAAAATTTCAGTCCCGTACACCTTTGCAGCTACGCCACGCATCCTCAAATACACAAAAACAACACTGATGAGAAAATGTATCCATTACGATTTCAAAACTGGTCAGAGTCAAACAGGGACAACCCAATGGTCGAGCAGCTAGAGTGCATACCATAAAGGCATGTTTGCCCTGAGCTGGAATCCCAGGCAGGGACCACCTGCTGCGCATCACCCCCCCTGCTCGCGCTACAGAATTTCCTGTCCTTTCCTTTACCTCAAAATAATGCCAAAAACAAATCTTAACAAAGACGAGATTAGTATTTTCAAAGAGAAGATTCTTTTCTTAGAGAAAACTATTATTAAAACATGTACAAATTTGTGCAACATTAATTTTAAATATATATATTTATTTTGTTGCCCCTTTGGAGGGGCCCTGACCACTACGTTGGGAAAAACAACATTAAACTCCCTTCATTAAAGTGGACTTCTTTTCTGACTTACAGAATGAATTAAAAAAAACAAACAAAAAAAACAACAACATGTAATTTCTATTGTTCTGGAGAGAAAAGTTAAGCTGATCCACAACCAGTTCAGGTGTGGCTTTAAAGGACAATGACCAGATCACTGACTATAACAAGCAACCTTAAAATTCATTCAAATGAAATGATGCCACAGATGACTGGAGAAAGGTTAGAGCAGGCTATTGTCATGTTGGATGCTGGCTCGTCATTAAGTATCCAGGCACTTGAATGTCCACAATTAAACGTCTAAGAAATCATTTCAGCCAACACCGAACGACACACGATCTGCCACATGATGCCCTGCATGGACATGTCTGAGAGCATGATTCTGTTCCCCACAATGTCCACCAACTTCACCGAACCCTTCAGAGAGCGAGTGGGACGACCTTCCATAAGCAGCATCAACAACTTCATTAACTCTCTGCGTCCTGGATGTGTGATTCAATACTGACTTGGGATTTGTGTTCTATGACCCCACTCTATCTGCCCATTATAATTTCCAATGTAGTGTGTATTTGGTTGTTATATAATGCCCATTCTGTCGTAGAGATGCTGTGTGTTGGAACAGCAAATATTTATTCCCCTATGTTTACAAGAATGGATAGAATTTAATAAAACGCTGCAGTTATATTTTTGTTCAGTATAAAACAGTCAAAGCAACCAGCTCTGACTGTGAAGTGCTGCTTATATGCTGTGGTATTAATATTAATGTCACATCAAAAGATCATTCTGAAACTATATATATTGCATCTGTTGTACATCAGACTATTGATCTGACCTTTTTTATACTTGGTACACAGTAAAGCTATGAGTCTCTCTTTAATCATTATCTTTCCTATTATTTTATACTCTGTAATTTATCTACCTGGTTAGCTGAACATCTGCATTCAAAATTTCTGTACATTTTCCTGATAATACATCATCACTTTAGGGTGAATTGAACTTAATGATTAAATACACCTCTGCATCCAGGAGACTGTTATACAAAAAAAAAAAAAAAAAGTCTTTTTCAACTTCAAAAACGTTGCATCCTTTTCTCATTACATGATCATGGTATACCAACCAGTATGCCAGTGACCTTGACATTCTGCTTTTAAAGGATCTACGTGGGCACTGTTTGTTCACATAACAAGCCTAATGCGTATTTAGACTGTCACTAAATAATCTCGGGACACTTGCCAGGATTTCTGTTTTGAAAACGCAGAAGCCTTTGCAAAGATCCTGTGTTCATCTCCTCCGCTCTTCTCCTCAGCTCTGTATGAATCAGAGACCAGTCAGGAGGTGAAAGACAGAGGGATCAATTCTGTGAGTATCAGGCTAAATGTGCTCTGCTTCTCGGACCTTAACAGGTTTTTGACCTTCTGCTCTGTCTTCTGTCTGATCTCCTGTTGTTCCTCCACAGTGGCTGCTGCAGTTTGTGACGGTGTGAAGACGCTTCGTGAAAAACGTCTCTGCGTGGACCTAAATGACCCACAGAACATAAACAACATAGATCACCTGTACTCGTTGAAAATTCTTCTTCCTTGGTGTGTCATTGTATTACGCTAATCTCACACCACTGTTTTACTTCTAGCTATCATTTAATTGCTCTAAAATACCCACTGTATTACTCCACCTTGTAGCACAATCAATTTCATAATCACAGGTATGAGTGTAGACGTGTCTTTACTGCGTTTGTCTTTTCAAAGCATTGCTCTGTTACCTAAAAATCACCCACTTCTTAAGGCAGTTATGCGCTCAAGTTGCTCTCAAGTGATGCTGTAATGATTGAAAACCGGGTTTGAGATAAGAACGTGTGTTTCTAAAAATTAAACTTGTACGAAATGGCACACATAACTGCAATTACACAACTGAAAAATAAATCACTGCAACCTCAACAGTTTACTCATCCGTGCACACATGAGCATGCCCTGGGAAATATCTGTGCACACACATGCACTCGCTGACACACACACACTGAGTGAGCGCTGCCTGCCCCACTGAGGGTGTGAGGAGATGTCTCAGCTACACGCACCATCTCTATTCTTATCGCACTGACGCCACGTACAGCGTCAACACACACTCGCCCCCTCCTCCACTACATTCCCTCACTCCCTCCATCCATCCCTCACTCTTTCTCCCCCCTCCTGTTCTCTCTAGTAACTGTCTGAGTCTCACAATCTGCATCCTCCTCCTCCTCCTCCCCGTTACATGCTGGCTGCCGTTTCCCTCTCAGACACACACAGGTGCTCGCATACACACAAACACACACACACACACATCCGCAAGCGAGCAAATGTCCTTTCTACACATGCAGCTATTAATAGCACCTTTGCTCACACACCACTTCCTGTTCATCGTTAGGTGAGTACACTCAGGTTGCCCTCGGCAACCGTCCATCTACACTGTGATGGAGAGAGGAGGAGACAAAAGAAAAGGGAGAGGAGAGAGACAGACAGCAAAAGACCCGAGGAGAGTGATTCTTATCGTTCCTCTCAATGTCTGTCCTCTTCTTCACGTCTACCTGCCTCATGGTTTCATTTTTGTTCTCCAAATCTTGCGCGTCCTCTAATTTATGCGTCTGTGGCCCGTAGAAGGCTTGTAAAAGGAGCCATCTGTTGGCCTCACAGGACTTAGACAGATGTGCTCACTCTTCTGCTGTCTCCTTCTGTTTTTGGAAAAGTGAAGATTAAGAGTCTACAGCAATGAAATAGCACAAAATGAAATAGAACATATTTCAGATGAGCAAATAAATGTCAAAATAGGCTGTCACTCAAATCCAAAACGACCCATGAAGCATGAGGATTTTCCAAGCATGGTTCTAAAAGTATTGGGCTCAGGGAAAGAACAAAATTATAGATCAGTTTGTTACACCTGGGCCTGATTTTGCAGACGTTCCAGCCACACTAATATATAAAATGATGTAGTTTTACATGTTCAGTGCCTCGTCTCAGAGCAGCTGGTTAAGGATGCACTTACGCACAGCGGTGCTAAATGCAATTGTCAGCATGCTAACGTGCTCGCTATGACGTAAAGACATGACACAATGTTTACCATGCTAGCAGTTTTAGTATAGCATGTTACCATGACAACAATTGCTGATTAACAGTCAACACAAGGTATAGCGGAGGCTGATGTCACTAGTTTTTTGTTTGTTTGTTTGTTTTGCCATTTGGTCATAAACCAGAGTATTGGACAAAGTAAAACTTTGACTAAAACACACTGGAAGAAAATTTAAGGGCTCATTAAAGCTTTTGCATTTCACATTGTGGCAAGTACAAAGTTTCCTCCAAATTCAACAAATGTCAACCTCAAGGTGGCACTAGAACCATGATACTCAACGCACGGCCAGCGGTTCCAATTCACAGTAGCAATAAAATGATTCACACTGGATGTTTGATTGTATAGTAAATATTCAGTAACATCCCCTGGTCTGGTTGCTACTGGGTTAATTTAGAAATGAATAACTTCAAAGAAAGATAACCCTTATGCCTTTTAATGTTCATTCATTTTATATGATAAATATTGTTGTTTATTGACTAGCTTATTGACCTCTTTTCATTTAGCATAAAACAGCCAGGTTGAGTATTCCTGCACAAGAGGACATCAAAATCACTCTGATTCATCCTCTGGACATCATGAATGTCCATCCATCCATTATCTATACCCCGCTTAATCCTCACGAGGGTCGTGGGGGGCTATTCCAGTCGACTTAGGACGAAGGCAGGGGACACCCTGGACAGGTCACCAGTCTATCACAGGGCTACACTTAGAGACAGACAACCAAGCACACTCACATTCACACCTATGGACAATTTAGAATCACCAATGAACCTCAACATGTTTTTGGACTGTGTGGGAGGAAGCCGGAGAACCCGGAGAGAACCCACTCTGCACGGGGAGAACATGCAAACTCCACGCAGAAAGATTCCGGTGCCCCCACCGGGACGCGAACCAGCAACCTTCTTGCTGCGAGGCAACAGTGCTACCAACTGCACCACCTTGCAGCCCCATTGTGAATGTCTGTACCAAAATTCATAGTAATATAGTTCAATAGTCACTCAAAACTACAACGTTGGCTTCATGGTGTCTGAGGACCACGAATATTAAAATATTATGTTATGGAGGAAAGTAGTGGCCTGACCCACACTGCCACTGCAACAGCATGGCAACAAACAATTCAGTAAGCACTCATCCTACGTTCAGTCTAACCGTGAAACACTTCAGTACGTAGCTACACTTAACCTAAATCTCTAAAATGGGAAACTGAAGATGGGAAAAATGTTTTCGCTCTTGATCGTTTACTAATTGCTTTATTTAATTTCCAAACAAATAAAACACAAAAGAATGAGACATAAAACAGAAAAGACAAAATACACACAGGAAGCAGTTTGGGTCCATAATGAATGTAAAGAAACACATTGGTTTTGTTGTTTTTACACACAAAAAAACAACAACAACACACAATGAGTATATTTTTAAAATCCTGCCTCTACTCTTTAAACTAAAAACAAATAAATACAAAAAGATTGAAATGAATTGCAAGTATAAAATTCTAATGAAAAAATCTTTTATAAGTGTTTAAACTTAAAGGAATTAGTTAAATGGTGATAACCTGTGTGTAGGCACTACATATATTAATATTTTGTTTTATTATTAATAAGAAATTATTCAAATAAGTTAATTAAAAAAAACTAATAATGACAGAAGTGTCTGGTATCCTGAAAACATTTATCATTATTATGTATTAATCATCTGTTTGCAGCAGCACTGAGTTAACAGTCAACACTTTTACTGCTAATCCTACATGTGGAGGTATTTCCAGAAAGTTAATAAATCTGTCATATAATCTGGAAGTACTTACAGATGGTTTGGCAGATATTATGACTGATATCTGTAATGTACCTCATAAATATTGCAGTACAGCAGCACTAACTTCCTGACAGGAGCAGCATCTCAGTCAGGCGCCTTCAGATCAAAATAAAAAAGAAGCAGTTTGCGGCTGATCTACCAGGATAAAACTGTAAATCGCGTCTCCCTCCCTCACACAGGGCGTCCGTTATCCTCTCTGTTGATTCTTCCCTCTCCACAGCAGCTGTGCCCTTCCTTCCACCTGCTCTCCTCCTCCCCATCCTCCCCCCAGCTGTCCTGTGGGATGTGATGATGCTCTGACAGGCTTGGCGTCTGTTCTTGGAGGTGCCGGTATTTTTGTGCCACAGTGGCGGGGGCTGGCACAGGAATAGTGCCGAAGTTGTAGTGTATAGTGTGGGGGTGTGATCTGAGAAGGGGTTGGGATGGTTTGAGAACTGTGAGATTTTTAAGCCATTGTATAGACAGGAGGGAGACCAGGGAGGATTGCGTAAGTTGGCTCCCTGACTGCAAATTTAGCCTGGGCTCGCTCACGCATAAATTTGATGAGCAGTGCTATCTCAGTCGTCAGAGCCGCGGTATTTTAAGACGTGAGTGTGTGTTGGCATGGGACGACGTAGGGTGTATTTATTTACAAGTCGTGAAGACTGATGGGTGATAATTTGAGACGCAAAGAGCAGCATTTGCATCTACAATACGCACCTCTCCTCCTCACGCTGCTCTCTGTTCCTCATCCTGCCTGTTGTTGCGGTTTATTTATGGCAGATTGTTACAGCCGTTGATGCCCAGGTGTTTCACGGTCATTGACAGTGATGTAACCTCTCATTGAAACCCCTTTGTTTATAGAAACTTCTCGCTTCTTGTTCGAACTTGACATAAATAAACCTGAGGCCATTAGACAGGAGTAAAAGATCTTTGAGGCTAACTTTTAAGGGTTTTAAGCCTTTCTATTTTCCACCTGGGTTCTTTGTTTAGTCTATTTGCATGTGTAGGTGTTTGTTTGGAGTGTGTTTATGCAGTACAGACATCTCCTTTTTCTCAAATTTAAATTCTGTGGCTCACTGTGTTCATAGAAATCCTCTTTATGCGAAGTAACATGAGGACAAGGAGGGCTGCAGCAGAAAAGAGCTCACCGCCAGAAACTGAGAAGCCACTATCCAGTTGTTTAACAGGGTCAACATCTGCACAAATATCACCAAGGTATACCATATTGGTGAATACTCATGAAGATGCAGTGGCCCTGTGCTCAATAAGAGGTGAACCAGCCACTGTAGAAAGTAATGACAATATAAAAGCAAACTCAATCAGTGGAGAGAGTCTTCAGTGGAATGACTTTGCTGTTGTTCATATAACATCACATTGGACATCTACTCATGCAGAAGTTGTTATTTTTACATTCTTAATTTTTCACAAGAAAATACTGTTTGGATGAAAATCCACCTGCATGCTGATACTGGCTATGTGATGAGCAGCTGTTAATGAAAATTTATGAACTTCAGTTTCAGCTACGTTCGTCTCCCACAAGTAATCCATAATCTCCTTTTCAGGGAGCCAAAATCTGGAGATGTGAGAGACAGCAGATAGCGGATGATTGATTGATTTGTCAACCAACTTATCAAGTAGACTTGTAAAAATCTATTGAAATACAAAACAACAGCTCTTCCATAAATTCTACTTTTACCAAGCGTTGACATACTCGTGTATGTTCATGGTATGGACAAAATGGTGCAAACACTTTTAAATGCTATGCAGTCTAGTTCACCACCTGGAACAACTATGACCTCAATAAGAAGTATATTATTATAATTTTTGAAAATGTCACCAAAAAAACTGAAAATGTAGGAAAAGTAAGATTTATTGCAGAGCCTGTTGTAGCAGATTGCATTGGATTTCATAGGCGTACCTAATAAAGTGGTTAAGGAGTATATATTTCTATACTGTTGATTACACTTATTGCTCATTTGATTTGTAACACTGCTTCTTATTTGTCATATGACACCTTCTGACCTTCTTTTTAAGCTATATGTTA